GAAACGTGGATCAAACTTTAAATCATTGAAAACAAAGCAAATTCAAGCCTCCACTATATCAATTCTGATTGAACACTGTGCATTTGATGGGATTTCATCAGGACTAAATAATGCATGTGGTGCAACAGAATCAAAATAGACGTCAAAGAAACACTATGTATGAGCAAATACCAACACTGACACTAAATGTTACTCACAACCAACAGGAAACATTTAGAGAAGGTGTTGACCTACATTACCATGAACTGGTAATGTAGGTCAACACTTTGTTTTCTCATTGGACGGTAGATGAATCTACAGTAACATGCCTTAAATTCTGCTGTTTATGATCGCTCCTCTGCGTCCTCATGAATCATTGATGAAGGACAGAGGATTGCATGTCTTAACCACATTTTGTAAAATGTTCTTGTACTTTCTGGTTTCGATTTGAGCGCTCAATGTATCCACTGAGATTTCTTGTAAAGCTCCCAAATATGTGCCTTCATCGGCAATTCTCAGGATATTTCAAAATACTTCCAAGAAAGAGAAAGAGAGAAAAAAAAAAAAAAACTTCATAACAAACAGAATTAGCAGACATATTTAATACTCCATCCTATGGCGTAATTTAGCCTTCAGGTCGAGACTACAGATGGTATTTATTACATTGGCTTCTTACTAAACAATCTGTTCCTGTATAGGTTGTCTAGATCCACAGGGTGCACAGCAAAACTGTCCACTGGGCGGACGCCATGAGCTCATTTCCTCTTCATGCATAAGTGATGAGTAGTCCATGCAGAATCTGCACTTTTACACATTTATCTGCTGACTGGGGAGGAAATCTGCATAGTTTTGAAGAATAATCTCAATTATGGTAAGAGGGGAGAGGACATTTGTATTACTGACATACAAAAGAATTACATGTAGAAAGCTGCCGAGCTTTCAGTGGAATTTCTGATGAAGCCGTTATCATGCAGGCGTGTTTAAGTGGAATACAGTCATAAGCTCTGATTAACATCAATTTCCGCTTCTCATTCTAGGAGAGCGGAAACAAAGTAGACAAACAGGAATACACAACACATCTACAAGATTACATTCTAAGACAACTATGTCATCTAGTTATGCTGCACAATTTGGAGTGTTAGCCTTATGCATCAACATCGGGAACGTTGCCAGTGCATTTCACATCCCAAAGGCGAGAACTGAATACTGTAGGAAATTATTTAACAAATACATTTCTGAAGCTCTTGGTATAAAAGAAACTTGTCATTAACCTTTCAAAAGATCAAGCTTGATCACATTAGCAGAACAGACTCCTTCCACAGTCTTTTAAGTGGGGCAATGGAAAAGAATCCGGCTTAGTAATACTATTCACTTTGCAATAGCCAGTGCAAAAGTGAAAGGTTCAATCTGGTTTTGGGACTAATAAGTAAGGTGAGCCGCAGGGACTGGAGTAAATCCTCAGCTATAGCAGGATTAATGGGCAGGCTCTTATCTCAATACAACCCGGTCTCATTCCAAGACGTCATATAACTGACGTTTTGGGACGTCTTTTGACCATACGTCAATATTCGCCTTTTTAGGGCCCCCTTAAACGTCGGTAGATGAGATTATGGGATCCTAACTCTATATACGAGAATCTTTTTTCTATTTTGCTAGCAAAGGTGGAGTGTTTATTAATAGGATCAGGTTATTTCCTGGTATAGTGAGGTAAAAAAAAAAGAGATCCTAATCCTTTTGTTTGTCAACGGGAAATTTACAGACACATTAGCCTATCCTCATGCCGTTACATGCAGCATTTTGACTAGGGTCTATTTCTGCACGAGATGAAAACACGTTTTAATAATTTCTTGGGTCAGAAAAAGTCGGAGTTTGCGATATGTGCCCCCCAGTGCGCTCTCTGCGCACTTCACATGCGCACAGTAAGCACGAAGTACGCGGGTTAATGTGTTTTAAATGCCGATAGAAGAGCAAGGGCCAAACGTCTAGCTGAGTCGATCGGTTTATACTTATACTTATGACTTGACTCTGATAAAGGAAACGTTTACATGACCGCATGCATTGTCAAGTTTATTCAACATAATCAGGTTAAGAACGTCGTCGCATGTAAACGCGCTCAATCTCTGAAAGTGAAAGTAAAAACGGACTGCTTTCGGCCAATTATCGTATTGATATCGTCAAAGGCATCTGCCATCGGCGATATGTCAGACTATCGTCGATACACGATACTATCGTCTATCGGCACAACCCTACTCTACCCCACACCTAAACCTACCTCTAAACCTACCCCGTCACCTAACTGACGTTAAAGGTAAAGCGTCAGTTGTATGACGGCCCGGGATCGCCATCTACCGACGTTTAAGGCGGCCCTAAAAAGGCGGATATTGACGTATGGTCAAAAGACGTCCCAAGACGTCAGTTATATGACTTTTTGGGATGAGACTGTGTTGCTCAATATCATGAACAAGTACATTAATCAAACTCTGAACATCAGAAACTAAATTAGGATATTCTTTGATCAGTTTACACACTTTACTGTTGTTGTTTTGGAAGGTAAGACATGTGGAATGCCATGACCGAGTTCTGCACGTGTCCGCACGAAAGTTTAGCATCACACATAGTCAATCCATCGTCTTCAGGAACGTAAACGGTGGGAAGAACAGCAGACGTAACAGGTAAAACTTTACTTGAGTAGCTTTACAAGTAACGTTTCTTCTGATAATTAAAGTATATCACTTAAAAGTGAGAATGAAGCCAGCCTAAAGCATTACTGACTGCAGGCACATAATATAAGAAGATTATCATCACATTAAGAGACATCCCGAGTCATGTCCCTCGCAGGTGTGATGATTATTAATGGTGTTTGTGTTGAAAACGAGCTCATCTTCCTCCCCGTGGGGGTAAAAAAGTCAGCAGGGAGCCTGTGAAAACTTCCACAGGACCAGATGTGCAAGGACAGACTTTCACAGAAGGGAAGATGCTTGCTCTACATGCACACTCACAGCAGTAAGCATATATGAGCCAGTGAGTGAGAGCGAGAGACTAGTTTTTGTAACTGATATAGCAAGAGAACGGATTGAGTGCGAGACTGACAGAGCGAGACACTCTTGTCTTGGTGAGTAGGTAGAGAAAGTGAGAGGATGTGCGAGACTAGCTCTGCATGGATGAAATTGGGCCCACATGAAATGCATACTTTCCCCTCTTAAAAAAAAAAACCCAAACAAAAAACAAAACACCCCCAAAAAAAGCAAACCACAACCCCCCCCCCCCCCCAAAAAAAAAAAAAAAGACGAAAAAAACTTTTGTTATATGTTGTGAGTTATGTAATATGTTATGAAATGTGTTATATTATGCTATGTTGTTATATTTTGTATTTAGCATTTTGCTTCCATGGAGGCTTTGAATATGAAGAGACAGCAACACTCCTTTGTCTTTTGAGCTCTTTATAACTTCCAAGCTGGGGAAAAAATGTATCATTTATTAAATACCGAATTTACTGCTTGGTGTGTAAGTCATAAAGTTCTCACCTGTCATCTTGCCTGACAGCTAAGAACATGAACTGAAGGAAAGAGACCATAAAAACGCGGCAGCAGGTCCTTTCTCATGTCGACACAATCACAGGCGGACTCCCTGTAGAGCTAGCGCACGTTAACATGGACAAAACATGAGGAGTGATCATGCGATATGGGGTCATGGTGGGGGGTTTGGAAAAGGGTGGTGGTCTTTTTTTTGTGAGTACACAAGTTAGGTACTGCCAGGAAAGATATTGCCATAGCAACAGGCCGGATAATAGTCAAGCCTCCCTCAACTTTCCCACCAACATCTTTTTATTCGCATTGTCCGTCCATTTCGCTTTCGAACATCATCATAACAAAGGCCAGCATTACTAATGCAATCTGTTTATGAACCCTTCTAGTGGCTCAAAGAAACGTCTTGACATCTTGAATTTTAATGGAGTATAACGCCCTTTAAAATAAAACAGCAGCACTACGGTTGATTTAGAAGACGTTAAAGGAAACTTATAGTGAAGGACAGCAGAAACACTCTTTGCGATGGCATAATAGCAACAGCCCTACTAGCGAGACTTTCTCATGCATAAACCCACGTTATTCTGCAGCTCAGCACTTTGTCATCAGCGACACAATACACTAAGAATAGCCAATGAAACAGTCAATGTTTCACCTCAGCAAATTTAACCAACCAATCAATAGACATCCCAGCAATCCAACACTAGTGTGTGGAGGGACCCAGAGGGGATTCAAGACTCCAGAAAAAGTCAAACATGCAGAATTAAAAATGTAATTCTTCTTTCGATGAGATCCAAATGACCCTGACAAGATCATGAAAAGTCACCCAACAAATCATCAAATTTAAGATATTGGTACCTTGTAACTGATAACGTTATAGTAAAATACATGTTATTAATCAATATTACTCCATACTTAATTGTACAATTACACTGTAACAAGGGCAGCTTAAAATAAAATGTAATCTACAATTCTATATATTTGTCTAATGGCTCATGGATATACACTTCATTTCCTAATAAACCTTTGATGCTATCAATCTGACAAACTGGCAAATCCAGAGATCAGATTTCCTTCAAAAGCACTAACCATATTCAGCTTTTACTTGTTCTTTACCAGACACAATCTGGGCTGTTAATCCCTTAAATAGCATAAAGCCAGCCAATCAGATTAGAACTGCAGATTTTAGCCAGAACTGCCCATTTCTGCATGCAATTTGCATCAGACTACCTCCAAAATCGCCATTGACAGATTTCATTCTGAATAATTGGATATCGGTGGAGAAATGTAGTATTAGTGCATCCCTAAATTAAACCACCACCTGCTGCTAGCTTGAAATAAACTGCAGAGATTAGGGCAGAAATTAATTCCCTTCCAGAAATTAAACCGTGCAGACTAAACTAAGTGAGCAGTGACTACATACACATCATCTTCTGCTTGAATATGATGCTAACAGGGCGGAATGGCGGATATGAGGAAAAATGCATTCAGACTCACCTGCAGACGAGGGTGGCGATGATGACGCACCAGGCGGTGCAGCAGCAGTCTGCGTTCGGCTGCTCGTCGCTCTTCTTACGGCGACAACACAGCCAGCAGGAGTAGATGAGGAGGAAGAGGAGGTCCAAAGCCAAACATGCCAGAGCTACACTGCCCAACAGCAGGATGGACTGCAAGAGAAGAGAAAATATTCTTAGAGATGGGGGAAATTTGGGAAACATAATATTCAAGATGAGCCATTCTTTATGAAAGTCAACTGTTGGTAATGAACACTAAACTCAAAGTACTAAACTCGTTTTTTCATGCATACGCTAAGCTATGCGTACAATTAGCATGGTGTAATTTTCATCAGCAGCATAGCATGTGGGTAACCAGATTTTTCGATTTTTCATGCATAAACTGTACGCTCAGTTTGTGTATGCACCTTGAATTTTCTTGTTGGTGACACTGGACCGGACTGCTTTTTCACAGTCGAAAAAAGGAAAAGGAGAGATGAGAATAAACAAGAAAGTAGGCGCAACAACAAAAGACGCCCGTGCTGATAAGCACTTGGGTGAGGGGGTTAAGAGACATCACGCAACTCTAGTTAAAATTTAAGGACAACTCCGCCGCAAAATGAACCTTTGGTCTAATTACACATTGTTACCTAGTCAACCGTTATCCGAGATTTGTTTTCATGATTGCCAAATGTAAATAGTTTTATCTCTAAAAACAGTTTAGCCTATAACGCTAGTATATAGGGCATAGAGTAATGACAAATAAAAATTGGATCGAGCTTATCGATACTAGCATTATACTAGCGTTATAGGCTAAACTGTTTTTAGAGATACATTCGGCAATCATGAAAACAAATCTCAGCTAACGGTTGACTAGGTAGCAATATGTAATTAGACCGAAGGTTCATTTTGCGCTGGAGTTGTCCTTTAATACAAGCATATTTTTTCGGTCATAACTATATTGGGGAGTTTATGGTTTAAATATGTCATAAATGGAAAAAAAAACAATAATAGTGCAGACACTGGACACAGATGAAATATTCTAGTGCGTGTATGTCGACCGCTTGTGTTTGCTCACACTATCAAATAGAGTATACTTTGATACACGGTGTGTTTAGCTGTATCAAAGTGCTCTAAACTGAAGTATAAACCCAGATGAAGTATAAATCCACTGTCAGCTATCTTTGGAGTACAATCTGAAATGTACTTTTCAGCATCACTGCAAAAGGTTCTGTCCTTCACAACTACATTAGCAAGATGTCTTATTATTTTAAAGTGGAAGCTTGTGTGTCACCCTCTACATTTAATTCTTTCCTTGTCAGCGTTAAAAAAACAAAACAAAAAAAAAACAAAACAAAACTTGTCAGCCAACGGCAGAGTTTGATAATTTTTTTTTTTTTTTAAATGTAATGACCGCAGAACATTTTGTTGTATATATCTGAACATGAAATCATACATCAAAAGAAAGAACAGAGCCTCTAGTTTTAAACATATCAACTTTTTGTTCTGTCTTCATGCTTTTTTTAATCAACACTTGAATGTGGGCAAGTACAAAAAAACTAAATGCTGAGAAGTTTTTTTAAAAAAGAAGCTGAGAAATTCATGTTTTTTTTTTTCTTTTTTCAAAACTACAATATACATAAGCAATGCTTTTATCACTTGTTTCAGCTTCTTTTTTGCCTGTGTTTTGTTCCAGAAAATCTCAACTCTTTCAAAAGATGTGTAATAGCGCCCGTACCGTATAACTGTCACAACAAGGAAACATTCCAGTGGCATTTTCTTAAATAATGGAAAATTCTGTAATAGCAGGTAATGAGTTAAGTTTATTAAAGAGCTATTTACTTGTATGTATATATATATATATATATATAAATAAATAATAATTTACATGATCCCTAAAGACTTTCGATATGACATGGCCTGCCTTTTTTGATAAAATACTGGCTTACTCTACAAACAGTTAAGCCGGGCACCACCTTTTGTTCCACCCCCTTTTTTATTTTAATTTTCTATTTATTTAATCACTTATTTTTTAATGATGTATTTATGCATTATATTGTTCTGATTTTATTTTTCTGATTTTATCTTACCGTTTTTTTGTACTTTGTTTTATTGTATTATAAAACTAAAATAATTATAATTATATAGTTTTGTTAGTCGGGGTAATGGTTTTGTGGAATTTGAACTTGTGACAAAAATGGGTTAGATATCTGTAGACTTTTCCTGTATAGATAAATCCAATAAAGAAAAAAAAAACAAAAAAAAAACACTGAAGTAATTATTTGAACTGAATTATTTCCAGCAAATAATAAAACAATGACAATGCCTTGATATTAGCTCATGAAAGTAAAAAAAAGCTATATGTAACCAAGTTTGTGTTGGATGTCTTTTCAGAGTTTTTCTCAAAAGAGTTTTATGACTCTTGAGTTCTGAATATGACTAAGACAACTCATATGCACCTTGAAACGCTTGCAACGGTGTCTGTGTGGGTTGCTCTAAGCCGAGTCTCCCGCTGAAAATCACGTGACAAATAACCTGCAGGGGAAGTTTTGTGTATAATGAGGTCAGAGCTATTCTCGGTTAAGACACACACTTCGCTCTGACAATCTTGTTGTGACAACCACACAGGGATTAAGCACTTTAAGGTACTCAAATTCTTCAAAAACTAACCCAATTCTGGTCGAGCCTGATTACAGAGGAATTGGTGAAATGGAGACACCCATGATGGGGTTGGCCTGGTATCCAATCAGTTAATCTGCACAGACTCACTGAACCCCTCTTCACGTAATAAGCATTTCAATTCTCCAAAATCAAGTAGTTTTCATACGGCTTTCAACCTGTGCCAAGTGTCTGTCAAGCTCACAGTGTGTGATCACAGGAGAGCTGGGAAAACCATTGTGTCGGTTCAAAAGGGGCCCAGCAAGTCAGACTGGAAAAGTGAGCAGGTCTTAAAAGCACAGTCTGGAATACATAAAGGGCATCATTGCTCAGTGCATTTACTTTAAAACACAAAGCCTGATTGTTCATCTCAAGGAAATTCCTTTGCCGTATTAGGCTCAGATAAGTCCAGTGAATTTGGTCCAGACTCAGAGTGTGCAGGTTTATCAGACCACCATGAAACAAAGTTGTGTTTACATTCTACCAGACGGCCAAAATGACACCTTCCGAGGAAGAACTAGTTGCTGGAAGCTGTGGATTAACAAATGCGTCATTGAGTCTTACAAATGAAAGAGTTCAAGAGTTTTGTTTTAGGCAGCTGTTAACAAGTAAACAAAATAACTATGAATAAAACCATTTTATTTTGTTTAATGTCCATGTAATAGTCAGTATTTGGTACAAAAAAAAAAATCTATTTTAATAAATGCAGCCTTGGTGAGCATAAGACGTTCTCCAAAAACAAAATTCAAGAATCCTACCAACTCCCCAAATTTTGGATTTTAGTGTATTTTCTACTCTGTTTGTCACCGTCATTGCTGCAGCTATTTGAATGAGCTACCACATTGCACACTGGTCTATTATTGTGGCATCATTAAATTCAGCTCCATCCGGACACTGGCTGGTTATTTTAGATGTCAGTCATTCAGTCTTTTCCTGGATTAAGGGGACAGTTTCCAGCCAGGATACGGTACAATCAATGTGCACGAGACTGATAAAAGTCTGCCTCACCATTTGATTAATTAAAAGACTTCAAAAATTGGAGTTAGGGTAATGCAACAGAAAAACAAGTATGCTTCAAAGCTCTTCTTTACTAGACATAAACCATGTTAATTCAGCTACCTCAGTTAACCCACTCAAAACCAAGGATCAGTCACGATGGTCGACCAGCTGATGTCTCTTTGGCCATTGCACAAAGTTAAAAATATCAATACATCTGTGTTCTGCATGTTTAAATTCAAGACCACTAGATTACATTTTCAGAATGTCTATTACTTCATTACGTTCTGACTTACATTAATATGTGATAGAGAAACAAGGCAAAAAAACAAGACAACCCAGTCCCTGCAGGCAAATGCTAAACCCTGATCTAATTTTAGAAGCACAATTAAGCTTTGTACTGTATTGACTGAAAACCACTTGTCCACAAAGCTCACTATTCACTGTGGCACTTCAAGAAAAATGAATCTTCTGTGAGGCCCTCTTGTCTGTTTTTGAACTCTTACACAGTGAAATATTCAGTGAAGGTTATGCCGACTAGCAACAGACACCAGAACTTTGCGTTTCAGATTCTTTTTAAGCCAGCAGGTGAATAACCAAACAGAAACAAGGATAAACTAACCAACCGAGACAACTTTGATGGCTGTCTCTAATAAATAGAAGATGAAGCATGGACCTCTTTCCTGGTCAAAATCACAAACAAACTAAACATTTGTTGGATGATTAGTTGACTATATGGGTTAAACAGATCGTATTTGATCCATGATTCGTAAGGGCCAGGCTCCACAGTTCGGTATGCATGTGTTTCGCAAATTAATTGCTAAGTTTCACCATCAATTCGGTACTTACACGCTGTTATCTAAGTGCACACACAAACATATCTGAAGCACAAACACAGAGAGGCACATTTCAGATAGCAAGAGAACAGCAATTTGATTCCTCTTTTGCATCTCCATGCAACTGAATGGACATATAAACAAACGTATTTTAAATACCAGTCTCTGCAAAGTATTCTCTCATAGGCTTCTTGAGGGATTGAAACTTCCTGGCCACAAAAAGTTATTAAAGACATTGTTAAAATAGTCCAAGTGAATACAGTGGCTCAATCTTAACTTTATCAAGCGACGAGAAAACCTTTTGTGCGCAAAAACTAACTAACTAACGACTTAAAACATAAATAACGACTTAACTATTCAGTTCCTTTTCTTTGGGCCTCTAGTCGGTTAAACGTCAACACGTAGGCTTACTATTGGCCGACACTGGTCGTGTGTGATGCGTGTGACGTACAACAACAGATCATACGCTGTTAAACTTGAGGCCTGGAGAGAAGGAAATGAATAGTTGAAATAAAGTCATTATGTTTGCTTGTTTTTTGTGCACAAAAAGTATTCTCAACGTTTGATAAAGTTAAGATGGAGCCACTGAAGTCACTTGGACTGTTTTAACGATGTATTTAATAACTTTTCGAGGCCGTCAAGTTTCAATCCCTCAAGAAGCCTATGGACTAGTATGGAGGAGTG